ATGCGAGCATGCGATAGCGTACTGGATTCCAATTTCTCCCTTGTAAGTGGTAGCCAGAGTAGTCTCGCGATTATTTTGCAGCCAGCCTTTATTTTTTAGCACCTTTCTAACTAATAGGCCTGTGAAAAATATCAGTGCGCATGTTTTTTAGCATTCTGAATATCAAAAAAGTATCCTGTGTAGAGGCAGACTTGCCAGTAATAACAGCCCTGATCTTTACAGCTCCTAGTAATCTAATGAATGGAGATTCATCCCTTTTGTTTGCTAACTGTGCACGTCCATAATGCCACTGCACACTCTTTCCAAGATCTTCATTGCTTTAGACAAAACAAGCCGTGCGTATTTCCTGGGACATCACTTTAAAGGCGAATTGTGGCAGTGTTCAAACATGACGGCATAGTCCCTGTCACTCCCAATTCCGTTGTTTTCACATCGAAATGTCCTTGCAAATTTGGCTGCAGCAGGTATGCAAATGGGTCTTCAGAAAACGTGTTTTGGGCCTAGACGGATGAAGGAGAGATGGGCATCGCCTGCATATACCTCTATAGTAAGAGTGGACAACAGATAAATTCTGTGTGATTGCCTGTGAGCGGAGTGTCCCCTTCAGTAAAAAGTCTTGTCGCGAGTAGTAGTGCCGACAAGCAGAAGGTGGCACTAAAGCACAAGTCAAGCAAAACAGTATTGGTAGACAGAAATTTACTGCCGTCAAATAGACGGTACAGAGGCCGTGTTATGGGGCAGCTGCCAGCTGTGTGTGCTCGCCAGATGTGTCCGCGAAGTTGTGTGGATGAGTCAATCTTTGGCTGCGAGACGAATGCTCAATCGACCGCCATCAAGCAGATGAGGCGGAATTATCGATTATATCCGAGCGTACACGCGGTGAGTTGGTCAATAACATGGGAAAGGCCGATAGCGCGCGCGGAGTAGATGATAACGTATGGGTGTACGCCCTGGCAGAGCGAAAGCGCTGGACAGTAGACTCTTACAGTCCCGCTAGTGTGGAACAATAACGTTTAAATATTTGGTGCGAGTGATGGCATTCCCCTATCTGACATAATTCGCCGGCGAACAAGAGGTAGTAGGTTTACTGAATTAGGAATAAAGAGGTTAATTTTGGAGAAAACAAAACGGAGTGCAAGCAAACGATACGATCACTTAAATCCTTAGAACTCTACGCCATCATCCTTGTTTGGCCAGTCAGTCAGAGTTACCTGATGAAAAACAGAATTTTTATAAAAGTGAATTGCTGACTGATTAGGAAAAAATATGCAAAAAATACATCAAGCAATCAAACAATTTAGTCTTACAGGCTAACTGGTAGGTAAAGGTACTAAACGCCTTACTTATTACCGCAGTTACTGGTCACTTATTAAATGCTTCCTATAATTTCCTATCTACTGCCTGCTTTCAGAGTGACCGAGCCGTGCTTATCGTCACTTACTGCCTCTGTGGATTTGCTAATATCGGATCAATTGGAATTATGCTGGGTTCAATGGTCACTATGTTACCACACCGACGGAACGAACTATCTGGCATGGTACTGAGCGCTATGATCGGCGGCACAGTAGCCTGTTTTCTGACGGGATCTTTTGCGGGTAAGTTATTTGCTCCCTTTTAATTCAAGACTGCACAGCCTGTAGCAAAGACTTTCTTGCCTGGAAACCTTGAGTGATTATCAAAGGTGCTCTATCGCTTAAGCAAAACTTACTCGAATTTGCACCCTTCAAAGAATTTTAAATCCCGGACTCTGCGCCCCTGTACAGGAGCAGAGCCAATGATTAAAAAAGGCACATACGAAAAGATGGTTTTCAAGGCTGTCTGAAAGTTTGTTATT